GAATTCGTTTGCGTGAGCCTCATGCTCAATGCGTGAGACTTGAGAGCACTATGTGGTTTTTTTTTTTTTTTTAATAAACAAAGGTATTACGATGTGTTTATACGTGTAGCTTCGTTTTAATCGAACAAGGTCAAATTTCCCGACACAGCTCCTCTGAGACGAAATTCCGACAGGCGACATGGGAATCTTGTGAAATGCCGACATGGCTGGTGGCGATTTCAGACAGGGGACATGGGTACCCCCCCTAACAGGGCCTCAATATTCAGCAGATAAACACATGGAGCCGCGACGAGCATGGACATGACGTCATTCGCCCCGGAAGAATTTTTGGGGGCGCCAAATTGGTGTCCCCAGATTCATACAGGAAAACTCGATTTCCTTCCAATACCGGATTAGAACTGCGTTCTATCGAACGCAACAATCTATGTTGCAGGATTTCGTAAACCATCACATTTGTTTTCATCACTCAGGGTAAGTCCACATTACGCACTGAAAAGCTTTTTGATCGTTTTGTTGATGTCGACTATTCGCCGAAAAATACGTCAGCATTTAAAGTGATTTTCTTTGACAGTCAAAATCCCGACTGGTCTAGCAGTATTTTAAAAATATCTTACGCTCGTGCGTGCTGAAGTGTAAAGTTGCGTGATCCAAACCACGTACGCTCTCCGTTATGAAAAACAAATAAAAATTCAACTAGCTTCGGACACAAGCGGATAAAAACGAATTCGTGCCATGTGTTCGTGTTTACCAAATATATTTTTACTAAAATTCACCGCAGAAAGTATTTCATCTCAAAAGCTATTAGAAATGATAAAAGGTGAGTTAGATAAATAATTAAAGCAGAACAAAATGGCGCCATTGCGCTGAGTTACTAGATCACCAAAAGAACACAGATGAATAGCAAATTTTTTATCGCTTTTTTTAATTTCAGCCATTACTAAGAATCTCAGCGCTAAGCATTTGTAAGCCTAGAGATCGCTAGACGGATTTCAGCCTGTTCCAGTTGTTTCGAAATCAGTGAGATCCCGAGCAGTTATAGATGGTGACTTTGAATATGCAAACCAACATTGAGATTAAAATGTATTTATATATTTCAAGATCCTTGCAATATTTCTAAATAAACGTAGACTGTAACATTTGGAAATCTTGGAATATGCAAATAATAAATAAAGCGTATTTACTCACAAATAAAGAATCGTGGTTCCGGTCGAAGTACGGAAAGAGAGTTGAAATTGAAATCTCTCCAGAACTGCCGTCGTCATTAGCAGGAAGTGCTGTGTCGCCTTCACTGACTCCGTAGGGATAGAAATCACTCAAAGGAACTGTCAAACACGGCATGATGCGGAGAAATAGCACAACCAAAACCTTGGACGGCTGCGAAAACATGCTTTCAAAGCACTAGAGGAGTATTTTTGGAAAATATTCGAAGAAACGTGAGGGAAATTTGATTCCCGTCAGCCTCTGAGGTTTCAGACAACGCTTAGACAAGTTCGATATTTACATTTTGCGAAGCCAAAATATTAACTCATGTAAATCAGATTTAATATCGGGCGTAACTTCCGGTTTTAGAAACGTTTCAGCGATCAGAGTTTAGTAATAAAACCAAAACCGAAAAAACTGACGGAATGATGTAAAAATAGAATCCTGACACATAAATTTAAAGGGGAACGTGCATTTTACTATTTTATTTACAAAATTCTCGATTAATTTTTTTAAAGAACAAAATATATGTGGTATGAAGTGATAAGTTCATTCGTGATAGGGCACGTTTTTCACAGCTGACCGTCTGGGCGTAAGCGCAACCTCGTTTTCACGATCCATCGATCTCACTTCCTTACTCGCTGGTTCGAGCAAACCAAGCCCAGTAAGGGTAAGAGCTCTTTTAAAAAAAAATAATTAAAAAATAACGAAATACTACAATCACGTCAATAGCTTGATGTAGCAGGTCATGAGCTATACATTGAGCACAGCCTGCAATCAGCTTTCAAAACAAGTCGCAATCACAGTCGAAAAATTAAAGAGAATTGAAATTTGGTCGGACAATTTAGTCTGCAATATAAAACTCTGCTAGCAGAATTTCTCAAAGAATGGACCATTTTTGGCTGTTTATTACAACGTCAAGCTAGGCCGGCAGAATAACTGAAGAAATTTCCGAGTAGGATCAATTTAAAAATTTAGCTTACGAGGGTGAATCATATGGCTACTCAGTATGAATGAGAGAGATTTCGAAAAAAATTCGTATTTTTTAAGAACACTGTCAACAAGCAGAATAGGCCAGAAAAATTTATCCACGCCTCGCTCGACAAGTCACATGAAAGTCAAATGCGCGCGTACTTGTGTGGTTCAAGTGCGGAACACTTGACTAGAGCCATAATGTTTGCTTTACAATTTGAGGATGCGGATTATTTTCTCTGTTTTTTTTTTTTTACCTTGAAAAGCCATTATTGTGAGGTTCCCTTCGATCTGTGAGTAGCTTTTGGCATCAGAAAAATAAATATGGTGACATAGCTCCTTTAATAATTTTTTTAAGACAACAGCACCAACGACATCAGTTAAAACAAATACCTGTAATAATTTATCCATCTAAAATACATTTACACAGAGCAATAAAATAAAATCATAAGTTAATTTATACAACAGGAATATTATGTACATCGGAGTAGAGAGTAGGAAGCACAGATACCCAAGTTTTTAACACTGCATCACAGCATTCACTTGCCTGTGCTAGTTGTGATTCAAATGAAACCATCCGTGACTGCTTCAAAACTAGAGTTTTTTCCCCTTGAATGGCTAAAGAATGTTTTAGTTAAATACTTATTCATAACATTAAGTTTGAATATAGCATTCGTTTTACTGTAGTGTATGTAAAATAGTTAGACTAAGACTAGTTACTTTATTAAAAATAAATTGCCATTTAGTGAATGTTAAAATGATTGACATACTTTATATAAGAAGCTTTAATTTTCCAATCCCCCTCCGCTCTCCAAACTTTTGTTGAAATGTTCAAAGGCTTTCTATCAACTTGAATTTAATAAGGGTTAATTAACTGCCATAACAGGTTTGCAAAGCTGATGTTCTGCATGTAAACCCTTTTCCTGTGACAAAGAACTAACAAAATATCAGCTACTTAATAGACAAACTCACTATGACAGTGAACTTATCTTGAAAGACTTCAAGTTGATACAACGCCGATAGCAATATCTTTTACTTACATGTACCCCCTGAGGTGTCCAATTGATGAAAATGATAATCAATGACAATTGATACCAAGTGCTTGCAAACTTTGGTATCAATTGCTTACAAATTTCATCACATTAAAAAAAAAAAGATGTTGGGAATAGGCGCTTAACATAGGTCATTAACACTTACAGACTTTTATTATAAATTACCAAAAAATAATAATATAAAGGTTCTTATTTACCTACATTCATTAGTAACTTTAAACCCATTTCCGCCTTCTCCCTTTTTCTTGTATACAGTGAATTGCTTGCCAACATTAACTTCACACCAACAAAGGTGTACCCTTTTGACAATCGCTCACATTGACAGTTGTAATTCAGTCAACTTTACAAGAACATTCAGGAAGAACAGTTACATGTACGTACAGTGGTATGAGCATGTGCAACGTGGTATATGCTTTGTGTTGAGAAGTCTTGAGTGCAACTTAGTTTGCCAATTGATAGCGATCGATGAACAGCTCTTGACAGATACCAATTGGTACCAACTAACTAATTACATTGATTGATATGGACCGATTGATTGCTTTTACAATCATCAATTTCCACTGCACACCCCAGGCTTAGCCTCAACACCACACAATAGTTTCTTAGAAACTAGAACTTGTCTCACGACATTGAAATATTACCGTGTGGTTATCAACATTTAACTAGAATTGGTCAGGGGAGGTTAAGGAGACTACTATTGTCCATGCAGTGCATGTCAATATGTATGATGCTAGTCTTACAGTTTATGTTACACGCTCTTCTGACAGAGGAGGCAAAAAGAGTTCATATTTGGTTCTGTTCTGTTGCTTCCTTATCATGAGGACTCAAAAATGTGACCAGTTTAGACAGTCCCTGCTGTGCACTCTCTATGTCGTTTTGGGAGCAGGGTTGTATATGCCACTCTCTTTTGTGTGCAATTACATCCAAGCCCATCATTCTTGACAGCTGGGGATAAAAATTACACAGTGCAAAGAAATGCATTTGAATAATACAAGTTAAGTCAAGTACTTCAACTCATGGTAAGAGTAGAAATGTCTTTGACTAATAAAAATAGATGGGAGGGCCAAATATACTGAAATCAGCTAATCGCAATTTTAAGTATTGGACAAGGTAATATTACTGCTTGACAGATCTTTCTCACTCTCAAGTCATGACACTAATTTCTGACTTGTAAACCAAGCTTGCTTACGGCTGTTCCGGAGGAATATATATTTACTCTCTGGCTTTTCTCTTTAGACCTACAGCTGTAACTGCAATCAACCCAAACTGTCAAGAGACAAAGGGTTGATATCCTCCCAGTATTGTCCTTATGCTTGATTAATATACAGGTTTGCAGCCATGATTCGAAAAGTGGCCATCAAAAGAAAGGGTCTAAAAGGGTCTCCTTGTGGGAAAAATAAAACAGTTTTCTTTCAAAAGTGTGCATCCACAGGACACTTGGACACCCATTCTGGCTAAGACCCTGCAAAGTAATCATAATCCAGATCTGACCTCATCTGCATTCCATGCTCCATTCACATCCTGTTTGCTTGCAAACACCAAAAGAGGAACAGATTCCAGGGAGGGGTGGGAGAGAGCCTCTTGAAGTTCAGCTGCTGCTAAGTCCACATCATCATCATTACTACTACTGTCCACCACAAACACCTGTAAAATAAAAGAAATTAAGTTTGAGCTGATTAAATGATTAACTGATCTAAATGTTGCATAAGCCTTTATAGCATATCAAGTCACTCTTGAAAAGAATTTGGGAATGTAATCACAGGAACCCATTGCATTGTTGTGGAACAGACAATGATAGATCTCTGGTGAGATTACTGCCAGTACTCGAAAAGTAGCGTCTCAGTAAACTTAGTGACTTGTAATAAAGAAACATTGACAGGTGACATGTGCAGTACAATAGCTGTTACACTAGATAATTCAAGGTAAGCTAAAAAAGGTAAAGTCTGTATACAAGCCAAATGGCCCAACTTGCCAGCACTTATCTCCGGTTTTCTGTAGAATGAAACAACTAGAAGTATTTCAACTGAAGATTTGTTAGTTTGAACCTTTTACTTGATAAACTCTTGATTATGCATTTTAACAAGCAAAGATACATGAAAAAAGTGTTCCTTACTATTCCCTGAGCTCCAGCAAAATAATGAGGCCAGTACTTCCTTACATTGTCTCCACCTACAATCCCAATCATTACAATATTATAACAGTTCTAGTATAATTAAAGGAAACTGTATTCATTTGTCTCAGTATGTCAGGCTATAATAATTATTGTTAGCAGGATTCCTGGCCTGCAAATTAAATTTCATTTTAAAAAAACTTAGAGGCTCTGCTTAAGTAAATATACTATTTTTAGTTCTATTAATCAGTATTAATCTTTGAGGTCCTTTTTGAAAACCACATGTATGTGAAAAAGTTTCCTCAGTAAAGATTATTATTATTATTACTATAATCTTTTTTCCCCTCCAGGTTTTACCAAATAATAAGATAACAAAAAAGTAGGTGGCGCCAATATACTACTTGCTCCCACAAATGTAATTAAAATTGAGATATACATGTAAATTTAGAAGCATTGGGAAGAGAGAACAGGGAGGTAGTTTCAGACCACAATCATTCTTATATTGTTGAAACCAACAGTAGTCTGGCTTTAGACTCTCTGTCTTTTGTATTGAGTTTGATTGTTGAGACTACAAGCAAAATATTAACCAAAGGGGACATGAACAAGCCAAATGCATGCTCAAAGCATAATAACTTGCAGAAAAAAAAGCACTGTACGGACTAAAACAAATATATTTACAACTAACCTCCAAGTTCCTTGATATTAAGAATGGCAGTTGGTAACTGGATAGCTTTCACAGAGAAACCTGCAACCACATTACACAGGGTTCAAACTTGAAATGAGGCAGCTAGCTACACTGTAACATATGAAATTATAGTAGACTATCTGATATTGTACTTGGGAAATATTTGGTAGACAAAATAAGAATACTACATACAAAGGTGCAAATATTAAGGGCAATTGAGAAGGTTCATCATTGCATGCTTTGTTTTGACATCCTCCAACAAATTTTTGAATAAGCCCCCTAGCACAAATAAGCCCCACCTCCACTTGACTTTTTTTCATGAATAGCTCTGTCGGGCACGATAGAAAATATGCTATAGACAATGTTGTACTATTTTAACATTATAATAAAAAATGTGTCAATGTTATCTAGTACAACTTAGTTGATTGCTTCATCTTATTTTTCCACATCTCTAACCCTAAACTTCATTTAAGACAATTTTGACACTTTCATGTCTTAACTGGGAGTTTCAGTAAGGGCCAGACACCAGGCAAATTGACCAGCCAGCCGTGAAGACAATTTTGCCCACCTGGTTTGAACATCTAGAGGAAAGTTTTCTGGATCATGTGTACTTATGGCATCCACAGTCGAGTGTCGATCGACACCCTCAATCAATACCCTTGATCTGTACTTGATTGATACTCGATCGATACTCGATCAACACTTCATCAACACCTTGGTTGAC